CAAGAACCAACAAACTATTTGATTCTAATGATCAGATCATGTCTTGGTCGTCGTCTTTCCTCTTGGGGTGTGGAGACCCCAAAAAAATCTGTATACACCAGTCAGGATTTTAAAAAACCTGAATAAAATCTTCTAAAATGCAGCTAAGAAAACACTGTGTACCGCCATTCTATTTTACAGCTGTTAATAAAAACTGTCAAACCTACCAGAATCTCCATCTTGTAGAGACAGGCCAGCTCTCTCATGTCCCTGAAAGGCTGCAGGAGATAATGGAAGAAGTTGGTGGCCACAGTGACCAGGTCATGGTAGGCCCTGTCCTCTTCATCGTAGAGGTTGAGGAGGACCATCATTCTGTCCGCACTGGAGTGACTCTGCATCAGCTGCGGAGGGAAAAAAACAAATATATGGCATATTTTGAATGTCTCCAGGACGTTTCCCGGTTCCAGCTACACCACATTGCAGTTCTTTTTGCAATTGGTTCCCGCTACTTCCGGTTTACTTCCTGGGCTTCACTTTCACAACAAGCTAGCTTAGCATTTTTTCCTGTGGTCCCCTTTTTCTGTGCCCACCTCTACTCACCTGTCGTAAGTGATCCTTGGCTCTCGACATCTCCTCCTGCATGGTCTTCTTCTTAAACTCCTGCAAGTTTTCAAAATACTCCTCCACATCTCTGTCGTCCTGCTGAGGAAATAACGTGTCCAGAACTATTTTCCTGCCGCAGATGTCAATGGCTGTGCTGAAATATTTCTCCAGTTTCCTGCACGGCGTGTCAAAATCCCTCTCGTCGTCATCTTTGCTACTCGACCACCTCTGTGTCAGAAAGAGCAGTTCCCAGATGTTGCCGTCCCCAAACTCGGACAGATCCGGGAAGCAGGAGCCCAGAGAATCGGCCACACATGTGAACTGTTGGTGGATGTGTTTCAGGTCTGACGCAGAAAAAAGTCCGGACCAGCTCACCTGATTTTCAGCCCTTGTTTCACGGGTTTCACTTTTCCGCCTCAGTCGCTGCAACGTCCGGTTGTGGCAGGTGACAGCGAACTTGGACTCGATAACGTTCCACTGAACGATAAAACCCAATTTAAAAGTCTCGGGTTCTTCGAATATATTGCTTTTAACGGCCACCCAGCCATCCAGGCTGTCCACACGGTCAGAGTCAAGGCTGCTCATCGTGAATAAGTGAGCTTTCACTCTGACTCCGTTAATCTGCTGCTGTTTACGGACTTCGCCATTTCTGTGACGTATGCTGCCTTTAGGGACCTTCTCGATGTTCGGAAAATAAATGCTCGTTCTGAACAGATTCCGATTTGTCTCAACGGTTCCTCCCTTAATAATAAGACTGTGAAAAATACTGTGACTCGTTCACTATTAGTTTAATCACACAATTTTGGTCAGTATATAATTAAGCATAAAACATGTC